AATTAATTAAAAATATATTATTGATTACACTATTAGAAAAACTCTATTTTTTTTTTTTTCGGATTTTGACAAAGTTTTTGCAGAAAATGTATTACCTGCGATTCTTCCTGCTATTTTCCGTTCCCAGCTAAAACATTCGTGGGTAATTAATTTAGCAAGTAAGGTCGCAAAAAGTAATCGCAGAAAATAGTCGCAGGAAAACGTCGCAGATAAAATAGATAAATTCGCAGAAAACGCCGCAGGTAATTGAAAGTTTCGCAGGAAAACGTCGCAGATAAAATAGATAAATTCGCAGAAAACGCCGCAGGTAATTAATCGCTGCAAATTGTAAATTCGCAGGTAAATTCACAAATAATTTCTATCTCAGGTTTTTGATTTTTATTATTAATTGTGCTTAATTCATATTTAAAATATTATAGTTATTGTTAAATATCAAAGTAACAATAATATAAAATAAAAATCTAATTTGAATAAGACAATGCAGCACTAATCATATTCAAATTTTTAAAATAACCAAACATTATTATAAAGTCAATAACAAGTATTTTTAAAGTTACATTACTAAAAATGACACAATCAAGTTACTAAAGTACAAAACAAAAGGGCCAACAAAACCAGAACCAGACTCCTTAAAATCTAAGATCTCATCGTGTTTATGTTTTATCTGATTAGCCACAGCACCACCCCAAATAGCACTTCCAATAACAGCAACAACACGAATTCCCACAATCCCTCTCTTCTTTCTACTCTTAAAACTGAAATCGATAGTGTATCCAATCCCAATTGAACCCATCATCTGTGCTCCCCAATAAAACACATTGTTCAATCCTCTTGTTCTCAAATTAAACTCGGTTTTATTAACATGATTAAACTGATATATATAGAAAAAATTACTAGACCAAGATGCAGGAATCATGAGAAGCATCTTCCAATTGTAGAACAGTTTCAAGATCTCCACACACTCAGTTGTAACATTTGAGTATAACATATTTGTATACTTTGTTCCATCATCACGAACAACTTTACTAGCTGGCAAAATAGTCAAAGACAAAATTGTTCCTAACGACATAAAAGCCATAAAACCTATGTAAGTTCCATCGTTAACAGCAAGAGCTTTATCACTGCTATTATAATCTATAACAATATATAAAGGCAATATATTGTTTTGGTGTAGTTTTTTTTCTTTCAATTTTGTCCAATAATTCACACTATTATTCCTTTAACACCCTTCACAAAAATCAACTACATAAACGGTTAAAAATATTACAATTTATTTAATTAAAAAATAAAATACTAATAAAAAGTTACAGTTTTTAAAAATGCATAACTACTGAAGTTGGTTTTTACAATCACAACCCTTTCAAAATCTAACTTCCATTCTAATAATATCTTCTACTTCATCACCAATTGCATATGCGTGTCTTTATAACCTCTCCTTCTTTTTTGCAAAAATAACTCTCTCTCTAATGATGAAATTAATGTTGACGAATTGCATACAAAACTCTCTTAAATGAAAAAGGAAGGGCTGCACACAAAACGAACACCCTCCCAAAATCATCTATCTTTATGGTAACCTTTGTCAACATAACTATAAATGCTTGGATTATTGTTTCGCCGTGATAAAATTGTGGAGCACTTTGAATGCATGGAGTGTATCTTTGTTTATTTAAAATTGTTCTTTTTGTCTAAAGGTTCATTTGTGTTTGTATCATTACGTATTTTTTTCATGGTATCTTCATCTCATATCCTTGCAAAAGAAACTCATTTCAATTGTTGATTTTATAAAAAATTAGGGTGATTGCATTCTTCTTTCCATCTCATTATTCAAAGGTTGTATTTTAGAAATTAATGATAGTTTTTAGTTAAAAGTAATATAGAACAGAAAAATTGTAAAGGTTGGTTTAAGCAAAAATACCAAAGTTGGGTTTTCTAAAATGAAAATAGAACTATAACAATTGTTATAGTTTTTTTTATAAAAATAATTTAGTATTTTATTAATAAGCTCTAGCCATAGTCTTAAAAATTAATAGCAATATTTTAGTTTGTAGATCACTTGCGTCCAAATGAGAGAGAAAAAATAGTACTTTGCATTTAAAAAATCAAAAAATAGTTGAATGATACGTTGATAAGAAACATATTTGGTGAGTTTTTTTTTCACCATGCGCTTTCATTTCAATATGTCTCTCTATCTTAATTCAAATTATGTACTACAATTTTTCATTTGTCATTAAATACACATAATAAATTCAACTTCAAAAAAATTTGTAGGTCGTGGTGTAACATTCAATGTTATGCATTCAATATATAAGAGTCATGTTTATTCTCTCTCATAATCTCTTTTGATCTTCCTCAATCATTCACTTATTAAACTCTCTCTCAATTGTTTGATGACAGGAAAATCTGAAGTAAAAAAACTTGAAGATTTGAAAATCAGTTACTTTATTATCTTCATATGAATATGAATTAATTTTTTCTTCTAACCATTGATTCCCGCGTACACATGAGTTGTTATCTATTTATTCTTTAGAAAAATTGAGTGTTGTAAGGTTAAAGGTATAATTATTTAATAGAAAAATTCAACCCAACTAATCAAATTTTGGATCTAGATTAGACAAGAAAAATTTGTATTAATTTTTTTTTGATAATTTAGAGCAATTTGATGTGCTCAACATCTCTGAGGTATTATGGGAGATAATTTGATATATATAGAAGATGTTATGGATGGCCTATTTTACTACCAATAATATCCCCTAAAAAATAGTTAAGTGTAGTTTCATAAAATTCAAAATTAAAGAAAAAACTGTCACACATGTGTCGTGGATATTCAATGCAAATGAAGCAGTTATTATAATTAATTTTGTTTTTAAAATAATAATGTTATATGAAGGTTATAATAAGAATCAACTCCTGTTTGGCCTTGCTATTTTATACGAACATGGTCTAATTGCACACCAAAGTTTTATAGAGAAATCAATATGAGTTTTATTTCCATTGTTACTACAAGGGTTCCATTGACAATTACATTGTTGAAAGTACAACCTTTTTTTCAATGATCTTTTGAAGTTCTCTTATATTTCTCACACTTTTTGGCATTAAAATAAAATGGTCATCTCCTATTTCTATTTACCTAATTTTCACATCAATTTATTTACTTATTCCCCCACTAATATATGTGCTAATTTACTAATCTATATACATATATAAAAGAGTATACTGATTTTAAGATTGACTCTTTTTAATTATTCGATACTACCTCTTAAATTGTGTTTTGCATGAGAGTAACATAGTTACACTTTTATAAAAAAAAGTTTAGGTGTTTCATTGTGGTATAAAAAAAGTTTAGGTGTTTTATTGTGTTTTATTGTCATTAACCTTGCATATTGTTTTCCAAATTATAAAACTATAGTCTACTCTACTAGATTTTGACTTATCTGGTACCAATTTCATAAAAATTTAGTATGCTTGAACGGAAGAATGTGATAGTTTCTCATAAAATTACATCATGTAGGAAGCTATTCTCTGTTTCTGGTACAGGTGTGCCTAGGATAGTCTTGACACTAATATTGATCATATCCCATGCTATAACTTTATGACTAGAGCTAGCCTAATCTTCTTTAATAATGTGGATGTTAGACTATATATGATATTTGGATATTATGTAGTATATTATAGTTTACCGAGCAGGATTATTTATTTATTTATTTATTTTTCAAAATCTCTATCTTAAATTATCTTGCAAGATTAGCTTCACTGTTTTGTACGTATTATATTATTAATGTCAGTATAACTATAATATGTCATTTCAGTTTTATTATTAAGCTTAATTTCCATTGTTTTGGGTGCAGACAACTTACTTGACATCGCAAGAGAGTGTGATATTCACAAAGGTACATTTTATATTTTAGTTGTTGTTTTAAGTTGGAAATTTTTTTATTTATAGGACAAATATATGACAATATCATGAAGGAAAATGCTTATTCTCACGAAAGATTATTTCACGACAAACTTGCGATTGACAATATAAACAAGTGTATAGGGCATGCTTTTTTTAGTTGAATTCTACATATTACAACTTTATGATATTTATAATATTTATAAAAAATTAGGATGAATTATTTCTTTGGAATTTTGTATTTAGAGAGAGGATGAAGTAGATGAAATCACGTGAATTCAAGTTTTGGTGGGTCAAAATGATGATGTCGTGTTTTTAGACAACACAAGTGGGTGGTAATATATATAAAAAGAGCCGTATAATAATAATTGATTTGGAATTTATGGGAGAAATTTTTTTAAGAAGTAGAAGAATGATTAGATGGAGAGTGAATTAATAATTAAACATTGTCGGGTAATTGTGAATTGCATTATGTCATATCGTATCTATAGTACAAATATATGACAATATCATGAAGGGAAATGCTTATTCTCACGAAAGATTATTTCACAACAAACTTGCGATTGACAATATAAACAAGTGTATAGGGCATGCTTTTTTTAGTTGAATTCTACATATTACAACTTTATGATATTCATAATATTTATAAAAAATTAGGAAGAATTATTTCTTTGGAATTTTGTATTTAGAGAGAGGATGAAGTAGATGAAATCACGTGAATTCAAGTTTTGGTGGGTCAAAATGATGATGTCGTGTTTTTAGACAACACAAGTGGGTGGTAATATATATAAAAAGAGCCGTAAAATAATAATTGATTTGGAATTTATGGGAGAAATTTTTTTAAGAAGTAGAAGAATGATTAGATGGAGAGTGAATTAATAATTAAACATTGTTGGGTAATTGTGAATTGCATTATGTCATATCGTATCTATAGTACACGACACATTCATTTTTGTACACGACACATTCATTTTTGTATTATAAAAATTTTAAATATTACATTTAATTTTACAGATAAAATAATATAATGGAAAATATCCGTAGTCAAGATTTAAGAGAGCGTCAAAGGGAAATACGAGCACAAAATGCAAGAGATCGAAGACAACAGATGAGTGTTGAGCAAAGACAACAAGAATTAGCTAGAAGGCGTTCGAATTACAGACAAAATAAAGACAAAGAAAAACAATTTCAAACATTTAATACTTCTAATATGAGAACCATAATGCCATTTCAAGACTTGACGAATGTCAATCTTGCTTCTCGATTGTTTCCGATGGCACATGACAGTGAAGCTGGACCGAGTAATGCACATGTCAGTCGCATTTCATTCCTGGGTTAGAAACTTTAATTTTTGTTATACATTATACTTTAAAACATTAAATTTAAAATGTATTAATTAATTATGCAAAAATGATTGTCTGGTCTATTAATTCAAAACTAATTTACAGATCAAAATTTTCCATGCCCAATTTTTCAACAAACTGATAACAACGAAGCAAGACCATCTATAAGAAATATTGATGACAATGATTGTCGTAAGTATAATTCTGTCAATAATAATCACATTAATAGTAATACATATTTAGATTTATACATTATTGTTATTTTAAAACTATAACTCTATATTGAAGTTAATATTTTATTTTGTAGAATCACCTTCGCAAAATATGAATCCAGCGGTTGAAACTTACGAAACACAGTCAATCTTTGATCAAGGTACGATTATGTATTTCTATTCTATAATATATATTGTATGTTTTTATTTAATTTATACTAGCGTCCAGACGGGCACTCGCGTGCCTGTGTGCTTGCTTTTTAAATGCACACGTAAAAGTTTAAATGACATTTTTTTAATATTAATTATAAATTTCATGTTAGTAAGCATGTATATAATAAGTATACTTTTTTTAATTGATGTTTTAAATGTAATAAAACACAGAATCACAATATGTTTTTCAAGCAAGACATAACATTGCTAGAAATTTTCGAAATACTGTTATGACAATCAAATCCCTACTGCCTCCTTCAAGTGATTGTAGACAATGCACTGCAAAATTGTTTCATAAAGAATCTCAAGATATGTGTTGCAAGGGTGGAAAGGTGACAATTACACAGGTGCCTGCTCCTGACGAGTTGTTACAGTTATTTTCAGACACTTCTACTGAAGGACGGCATTTTAGACAGCATATTAGAAGTTACAACCATGTAATGTCGTTTACTTCACTTGGTGTCCACGTCGACGAAAGTTTGGTTACAACTGGTCGTGGTATTTACACATTTCGTGCTCAAGGCACAATTTATCACAAAATAGGAGGTTTTCATCCGAATCAAGGTTCAAGGCCGCGCTACTTGCAGCTATACATTTATGATACTGATCACGAGCTTCAAAATAGGATGAGGGAAAACCCAATATTTAACCAAGCCATAGTGTATAAATTGCAAAAAATACTCCATCAATGTAACTCGTTTGTCATCATGTTTAGGCAGCTTGCACTAGAGCAAAATGTTGAAGAATGTAGGTTACTCATTAAAGAACGTCCGTCAAATCAGCCACAATATAGTCTCCCTTCAGCTTCTCAAGTTGCAGCAATTGTTATTGGTGGTGGTGATGAAGATACAATAGAACGTGGAAGAGATATAAATGTCATCAGCTGTGATGGAAATCTAACAAAGGTTCAAGAAACAATTGGGTATTATGATCCTTTACAATATCCTATATTGTTTCCGTTCGGAACATACGGTTGGGACATAGAAACAAAAAATAATGTTGGAAAAAAATGTTACATGCCGAGAGTACTACAGTTATGTGCTTCAGGTACATGCTAAACTTTTTTTTTAAAGAAATTTACTTCTAAAAGTGTAAAAAAAATAGGTCATGATTGATTATTTTTTTCAATGTAGATTCGACATAATGATCAATTTGCATTGTTAAAATCAGGCCGACTTTTACAACAGTATGTTGTAGACAATTATGTAAAGATTGAAACAGGAAGGTTGAGATGGATTCGAAGAAATCAAAATAATATTCGGTCTGAGGTATATCAGGGGTTACAAGATGCATTGCACGATGGGGAGAATAACGCAGGTATTTAATATAACATGTTAGATTTATACATGAAGAGCATCCACTTTATGTTTACCACTATCATTTTTTTAAAATTTTCATATATTTCTATAGATAATGTTGGACAAAGGACAATATTACCATCATCATTTATTGGAAGTAAGCGAGACATGACATAAAGATATCAAGATGGTATGGCTATTGTTATTAATGATGGTAAACCGAATATATTCCTTACAATGACATGCAATCCTTCCTGGATTAAGATAACTTCCGAATTAGGCACCCATCAAACTCCACAAGATCGACCTGATTTGCTAACAAGAATTTTTTGATCAAAATTTGAGAAGTTGAAGGATGATGTCATTAATAAAGGAGTCTTAGGGAGAGTTAGAAGTTATATGTATGTAACGGAATTTCAGAAATGTGGACTACCACATGTGCATATGCTACTCATCTTGGATACTGATAACAAGTTACGGGAACCTGAAGAGTATGATAGTGTGGTGAAAGCAGAAATACCACGACATGAGTCTGAGCTAGAATTGTATGAAGCGGTGTTAAAACACATGATCCATGGTCCATGTGGAGTATTGAATCAAAAATCTCCATGTATGAAGAATGGTCATTGTAAAAAAAGATACCCAAAAGGATTTTGTGAAGAAACGCGCCAGGGAAATGACTCATACCCGGAATACAGAAGAAGGTTTAGTGATTCCATTTTTCTAAATAGAAATAAGTCTATTGATAATAGATGTGTGGTTCCTTATAACCCATGTTTGTTTTTGAAGTATGTTTGTCACATTAATGTCGAGATTTACAGCAGTATCAAAAGCATTAAATATTGTATAAATATGTTTACAAAGGTCCTGATCGAGTTGCAATGGAAGTTCACAGAGGTACAGGTTTGGATGAGATTCAACAATATGTTGATGCAAGATGGATTTGTGCTCCAGAGGCATTGTGGAAAATATTTAAATTTACACTTTACAAGTTATATCCCTCTGTTGAAAGACTACAAATCCACTTGCCAAATCATCATCAAGTGCGGTTTTATAAGCATCAAAGAATCACAGATGTGCTAAATGATAACCAAAATGCAGTAACCATGCTCACTGAATTCTTTGCACTAAACCAAATGGATCCACATGCTAGGAATTATTTGTACAGAGAGATTCCAGAGCATTATTGTTGGCTAAAAGGGGTCAAAAAATGGCAGCGAAGACAGAGAAAACGAAAAGTTATTGGTTGAATCTATACAGTATCCCCTTTAGAAGGTGAGAAATTTTACTTATGTGTTTTGTTGTCTCATTTAAGAGGTCCAACAAGCTGGGAATACCTTCTTACACATAATGGTGCATCTTTTTTCACATTTAAAAAATCAGCTGAGGTTTGGGGGTTATTATGGAGTGATAATAATATTCGTGAATGTTTGCTTGAAGCATCAAATATGCGTATGCCATATGCTTTATGAAGGTTTATTGTGACTATATTAATTTTTTGTGAACCAACTGATGTTAGAGGCCTATTTACTGAGTTTTATCCCTACATGGTGGAGGATTATCAAATGACAAATGTTGTTGTGGGGGATAATTTTGAAAATATGTTATTGAAGGAATTGAGGGATCTTTTGCTACTGCATGGAAAACTAATAAAAAACTACGATCTTCCAATATTGACAACGGAAACAAATGAAGTTGAGGGAGTGCCAACAATTATTCAGGAAGAGTTATCGGTCCAAATTCCAAACGAAGACGTTCAATCTGTTGTGAAGTTAAATAATGACCAGATGAGTGCTTACAATATAATTATGAACGCCATCCACCAAAAACAATGTCAATTTTTTTTTTGATGGTGGTCCTAGAGGGACAGGTAAAACTTTCCTTTATCGAACTATAATGGAAAATTTGAGGCATAATAATGAAATTGTCTTAGCAACAGCTTCCTCTGGTATAGCTGCTACATTATTACCTGGTGGTAGAACTACACACTCTCGATTTGGGATCCCCATTGATATAGACCCCCATTCTATTTGCAAAATAGGAAAGAATTCTGACCTTGCAAAACTCATTAGAATAACCAATGCAATCATTTGGGATGAAGCACCCATGATAAATAAATATTGTGTAGAAGCATTGGATCGATCACTTCAAGACATCATGAATAACAATGCTCCATTTGGTGGAAAAATAATGATCATGGGCGGAGATTTTCGTCAGGTGCTACAGGTTATTGAAAAAGGAAATAGAGGACAAATGATTTCAGCATGTATTGTTAGGTCTCGATTATGGGTCACCATAAAGGTCCTACATTTGCGCCAAAACATGCGATCCATTCATGACCAGGACTTTGTGCAGTTTCTAATGAGGATTGGAGATGGTAATGAACCTACTAAAGAGGATGACATGGTCATAATGCCTGCTGAAATTGTAATACCTTGGGAAGGAGAAATCTCCATACAAAAGCTTATACAACATACATTCCCCCAATTAGAAAACCATGGATGGAATGCTTTATATATGGTGGAGAGAGCGATGCTTACTCCAAAAAATTATGATGTGCATATGTTGAATGATATGATTATTGATAAATTCCCTAGAGATGAACATATTTTGTTATCTTTTGATGAGGTTGAGGGTGATACTCATAATCTATATCAACAAGAATACTTGCACACGATTGCTCCTGGTGCTTTACCGCCACATATTTTAAAGATAAAAATAGGGGCTCCACTGATGTTGTTGCGAAACATAGACCCTAAATTTGGGTTGTGTAATGGGACAATGTTGTTATGTCGTGGTTTTTTTTATGAATTTGCTTGATGTTGAAATATTTACAGGCCACAATGCTGGAAAAAGAGCTTTCTTGCCAAGAATTAAGCTCAAAACCACTGAAGGTGCGAGACTTCCTTTTATGCTTATTAGAAAATAATTTCCTGTCAAACTAAGCTTTGCACTCACTATAAATAAATCCCAAGGACAAACAATTCCAAATGTCAGAATTTATCTTCCACGACATGTTTCCAGTCACGGACAATTGTATGTTGCTTTATCAAGAGGTGTTTCGCGGGTTGCAATAAGAGTGCTAATTAAAGACGGAAGAATAAGTGGGGAAGAATGGGAGTTTACAAAAAATATAGTTTTTAAAGAAATTTTGTTGTCACAAACTCAGGTATTTATCTATTATGTTTAATCATTCAACTATACTTTTGCAATCTCACATTAGGCGTGTACTTACTAGATTACACTATACCGTTGACTACTAAAATTTACTTC